CAGGGCAGAGTAAAAAGGTGGGCGACTGGGAAGACTTCAAATACGACGAAAAACACGCAAAAACCTGACGCTTGCCAACAGTTCTTTGACAATTTGGACATTGACTGTGCAGACTCATGGGCTGCTGAAAAATTGGAATTATTGCGAAACGAAATAAAACGTTTCTCATAGGGTATAACTCCTATTTCCGAAGTGAGATGGACAGGAAAAGATGAAACACCGAACGGAGATTTCATCTGGGCAGGTGAAGAAAGTGCACATATGAGGGGTGTCGGTTTCATATTAAGCCCACAAGCAAAAAGGTATTGACACATTCGATCCGATGTGGTCCATCGGCGGGCCACGCTTTATTTTAACGAGAATCTGTGTAGAAAAGCATTTTCTTTTGATTTTGTTTGAACGTAAAGATAAAATATACGGGGTCAACTGTGTTGCCTCTAGTATTTTATTTGAACTTTTTACTCCATAGCATAATACTTATTGTTAAAACGCCCGAGACAAAAAAATTTCTCACAGTCAGAACAGAAAGTTTGAGCTTCGAATGATTTGCTGGTTGTTCTCTTGGACAGGATTTAAACTTCTTCGTTGACATGTCAAGCAGTAATGACCAATACCGTACCGAAAACCAATTCGAGTGCCACCTTGCGGTACTATTTCATGGATTTTCTGAGACATGTGTAATATGTTAATACTTGGTCAGATAGATCCGTACATTGGCTTCCTTGATTGTAATCTAATACAACTTGAGGGTTCATGATACGCTCATTTTGGTAATTTGTTTTCCCACTATCTGCTACACTTGACGAATATGATGGGCTTGTAGATATCATCAAGACCATCCAATAGTTTTGATTACTACTGTTTGTGTATGTCCGACACCTGTTGTCACATCTTGTTCGCCTGTATAAGCCCTACAATTACAAACATAACCATTCGTTGCTGCTATAATTTGTACATCTTTACACCGTACGTGCGTGCTTTGTCAGGTATATATTGTTTAAATGAAGGCCGGCCTCACCATGGTATGATACTTTAGTCAATAGTGACAGTTGAACCCGGTATATAAACTAATCAAAACCTATCTTTCAATAAGTTTAGAGGTGGCTTTAATTTGAACAATCTAGCTTGATTCGCATTCTCCTTATTGTTATCCGCAAAATGCCA